CTGAGTAGGATCTGCTGCTTACCTAGCTGGGCAATGAAGCTGTAGCCGGAATGTCTAGTGCAAATAGTGCTGTTGCCATCATCATTGTTGTCAGTATTTTGCTCCATCAAAGAATGTTGCCGCCCTCCTTCCAGTCCACGAGTAAGTGTCCAATCTCCTGATTAGAAGAGCTTTTTTTTTTATTTTTAGTTCATCTCTCATTATTTACATAGTTAGCTATAAACAGCATTCTACAAAACCTTGGCTGAATCTGATGTCATGACTGATCTGACTCCAGACATTACAGGCCTTAAAAAGAAGGCTGCAAGAGAGAAAACATTGAAAAATAACATGCCCAACCTTCAATTTATGATGATTCTTTATTCTGATGATGATGCTGATAATTATTATTGACTGAAACTCCTTTACTATGGTTGCATGAAATTGCAGTGGTCCAGGCTGGTCACGTGCTCTGTTTGTATTTCAGGTGATGGGAGTGGTAGGACCTTCCAGTGTTGCTGATGGATTACCCCTTCTTCATCTCAGCCCTTATCTCTCACCACCTCTGCCCTTCAGCACAGCTGTTGTCAGGCTTGTAGCATTGCAGATACAGGTGTGACTGCCTTACCTGTTTGTCACGCTCATTAACTTGCCGGTTGAGGCACCGGATCACGGTGTTCTTTTATCTCTTTCTGCAAAGGCTGGGCAAAATCTGTGAAACCAGAGTGGGAACACCTCCAAACTTTTCATAGATTTGGAGCTTCCGTCCTGAGCATGGCCCAAGGTTGTGCTTCTGTAATTCTTCTTGAGATCTCAAAAATAGCAGAGTCATCTTGTCTTGCCACAACCTCAGGAATCATTTCAGTCATTTAAAACAAGGGTCTAGGAATAAATGGCTCACAATTGTTAATTAAAAGAGGCAGTAGTATTCAAAGCCTGGTTTTAAATTATTTTGAGAAAGAATTACAATATAAGATTCTTTCAAGTGTTATTACTAGACTTTGAATATCTTAATTTTCTTAATGATTGTGGGCTACATATTGTTGATGTGTTTTAAAGAAAATTGTCCTCCTTAAAAATAAAATAGTCCTCCCAAGGTAAAGTACAGAACCTGCCTATTTATCTCTGATATCCAATTTTAAAGCTCTGTGATCTATAGAAAGGTTACAACTGATGTAGAAGAGGTAACTGATCTACCCATTTCTAACATCCATTCTCTGACCTTCCAGAGAATGGATCTGTGATAGAAAATATTAAGAGCTACAGCCATTGTATAGAAGAGAAACAATGACATCCCCAAAGTGACACATTTTAGTAACCTGCTTCCAAAGATTATTTGTCTCTTTCTCTATTGTTTATTGCTTCCTGGCTTAAAGAAGGCCTAGGCAGGTGTCTGAGGACTTTAAATAACTCCCAAATGGAGCAAGTGGAAAGTTCTCATTTTCCTCTTTTCCTTTATTTCTTGGTGGACACACAGAGAAAACTAATTGAGGAAATAAGGTGTGTTTGTATGTGACCCTAAGGATTATAACTTCACATTTAATATGCAAGATGTTACTGTCTTTTAGGAATGTAGTTCTCAATTATGTCAAGCCAGTGGTAAAGTATCAGTTTTGATCCAATCTCGGATGCTGCACAGAAGACAATTGCACTTATAGTCTACAGGAGCAGCCAGCAGGGAGGCACCGTCTCCGTCATGCTATGTAAAAACATACTCAATGCACGTGGTGGTCCATTAATCTCTTTTTCTATTATTGCTGCGCAGGCTTTAAAAGAAGATTTCCCTTTAAGCCATGTGATCTCCCCATTCACCAATCAAGAGCGAAGGGAGGGGATGCTTTTAAATCTACTCATCCCATTTGTGCTCACAGTAGGATCTGGAAGCAAAGGTCTGATTAATTTAACTAAAGGAAACTTACCACTGTTGATTTGATTACTTAAATATTGGTCTGTTATTTCTTTTTCCTTTTCCCAGAAAGGCCATCACTTGAAGCCTATCTAAATAGTTGTAATAGGGGTACTTTAGGAAATAAGAATTTCACTTTCTTTTTCAGTTTAGCTGCCCCAAACCAAGAGTTTCTCTGCTCTACTCCTTAGAAGATACATCCTAGTATATTGTTTCAATTCAGTATAGAAAATGGTGATAAGTTGAAATACATTACGATGAAAATTGGCAGGCGAATGGACTCTGTAATCCCACTGAGTTTAGCAGAAATCCTTCCACTGTCATTAAATTTCATTATGTGTTTATTACTCTTCCTTCTGGAGGGGGGGGGGTCTTTCTTTTAGGAAAAGCTTATCTCAAATATAAGGAAAGTACGTTATGAATATTTGCAAAAAGAAGGAGATTGAAATGGTAAGCAGGAGAACTGGCTAAGAGCACAGGTCTTGTGGTACCAACTATAGATAATCCCCAGGTACCAAGAAGGCTGTGTGTGATCAAGAGAGAAACTGTCCTTGGTGGGAAATCTCCCTATGTCTATAGTGTTCTAGTTTGGAATGGGAAAGAGCTGTTCTTGCTTCTAATGTAAAAACTCTACCTGTGACTCTTCCCCTTTCCCCCTCCCAAACTGCCCTTCAGATAGCCCATGGCTGGAGCAGCCGGAGGTGCAGCTGCTGCTGCAGACAGTCATTAATGTGCTCCTGCCACCGCGGATCATCAGTACATCCAGGAGCAAGAACTTCATGTTGGAGAGCTCCCCTGCCCACTGCTCCACCCCTGGAGATGCAGGGAAAGACTTGCGCAGGGAAGGGCTGGCAGAGTCCACCAGCCAAGCAGCATACTTGGGTATGTTCCTACCTTAACCCTCCTTCCCTCCCTTCCTCTCTCATACTTCCATATGTGCAGTATCTAAATTACCTGGTTGTTTTGATAAGATTTCTGGGGGCATATACAGAAGGCATCTTCAATAAGCACGACTTCTTATTGAGTAAAAGATCACGAGTTAGATTTTGTGGCTCTTATGAGCTCTAGGCTTAGTCTAGTGTACAAGGACACTGTTGCACAACTCATGGGGTTCACTGGGCTGTTATGTGAATGGAGTCCTTGGTCAGTCTACATCCTGAGCAGTTTGACATGCTGGCCTTGCCTCTCCCCAAAGGCTTTTCAATTCCCTTTTCCCTTCCTCTGTTACTCTCACATATCCTATGGTTACCTTTAGCTTGATGTTCTCCCGTGGAATACTTGAAAGCCAATCTGTGTCCCTGAATGATCTAGGCCAGGAGGAAAAGCACTGTCTTGCTGTAGCACTGAGAATAAGAAACACTGACACTAGGAAACTTCAAAAGGCGAGAGTGGAGAACATCTTGCTTGATGACTCTCTCCAGTAGATGTCACAGACAACAAGAATAAAAAAAGGAAAAAGGGAAACAGAGGAGAAAGGAAAAATGCACCCATGCAAGGCATGGAAAGATCAGGTTTAAATAAAACCCAGACTTTGAAATAGAGCAGTACATGCAATTAGGGATTACCCACAGGATGATGGAGAAAAGGGGCTCTGTGGTGAACTTGACTCTCAACTTGACTGAGTTAGAAGATGCTTAGGAGATTCATAAAGCATACTTTTGAGTGTTTCTGTGAGGGGGTCTCCAGAGAAGACTAACTAAGCAGGGAAAGATCCCCCCCTAAATGTGGGCAGAACTGTCCAGCAGCCTAGGGGCTCCAGTAGAGAAAAAGGGAATAGAGGAATAAGCCAGCTAACAAAGACATTCTCCTCAGTCTCTGCTCCCTGACCACCATGATGTCCACTGCTCTGCTTTGCTATGCTATGAGGGACTGAAAGCTCTGGAACCCTAGGCCAAAATAAATCTCCCCTCCCTTCAAGTTATTTTCTGTCAGGTGCTTGCCACATTGGGGGAAAACCAACTACACAGGGATTTGCCATGTAAAATAAGGATATGAAAAGGTAGGTGTGGAGTAAATGTTTTTCAATCCTCTCCACTTCCTGCCTTTTTAATGAAGTTGTTTAAAAAAAAAAAAACTTGGCCTATTTATCCAGGCTACTGCACAAAATGTATGTGTTTTATTTTTGTACTTCTTTTTCAGCATCTTACATGTCCTAAATAGTGTTTTGTATATTCATCTCAGTAAGATTTCACATCCTCACATCAATTCTAAAAAATTTCTTATTCTTACTTTAGGAGTGAAGAGAATAAAGTCTCAACAGGTTGGCTAATTTGCATATCAATGCACAATTAATACATGAAAAGAGCCAGATTTAAATTCAAGCCACCAGAATCTAGTCATACAGCTTGTGTGTTGAGCTGCTAGGGGAAGGCAGAAAGGCAGAACCCGATAGGCATGAAATAACAGTAGGAATATTGTTAGGAGCAGGCTAGGGAAAAATAGTCATTTCCATTCATTTTGGTACTTGTGTGGCTAAGGAGAGGAAGTGAGAGAAGTAAAAAGTGGGATGTTGAGGCAGGAGATGTGTCAGAGTTCTATGATCTCCTCCTGTGTTACAAGGCATCGTTTTCCCCCTGGAAATGTCCTTGAGGACCTTAGCACCTTGAAACTCTATGTGGCTTTTACAGAGTGGGATTGCTGATACTCAGGTGGGTCCAGAATGGTTCCCTTGACTACCCAGAGGCAGACCATGTTGGGAGTCTTGGATGGCAGAGGAGGCTTGCGTCATGATCCTGGACATGGTTGCGTCACTCTGATACATTGTTTGGGTAATCTGTTTCCTGGAAATGCAAAGGGCTGCCAGAATGTAGGAGATCTTAGAAGAGAAATCCAACAGGATTAGTCATCGGAAATTATATAGATCTGGGAGTACATAATTCCATTTGCTGGTGAATACCAAATGGATCAGTTTAAGATGGAATAGGGAATGGAGCAGAGGAGAAAGACTTAAATTTTAACTATGTATTTCAGCATTCATTTGATTTTAGTTTTTTAGGAATATGAGTACTTATGCTTAAAAGAGCAGGAAAATATTTTAAAGCATTGAGCTGAAGATGTATATAGTATGATCACGTTGCCATAAAGCCACTGTAACAATGCTTTTGCATAGTCAAACTTCAGTCACACATCATGTTTTTATTTTTCTTTCAATCTGATGGACGGCTCTGCTTTGTTTTCCAAGTGTTCAATGCACTTGTGAGAGACAATTGCGGGCAAAACATTTATTATACCAATTATACCAACATTTTGCCTTGATGCCTTGCTCAAGAGTACGTGCTAAGATTTTGGAAACATGGAGTTTAGAAGTTGCAAAGATTCCTTGGTGTTGTAGCTATGGACAGTGGCTATGGCAGGCACAAGTCCTCAGGCTGTCTTTTCTCTCCTCCGGGTGTGAAGCATTGAAGGTGATTCTCGTCTGCTTTGAGAGGCAGCTGGGAAGCCAGTGGTACTGGTTGAGCCTGCAGGTGAAGGAGATGGCTCTGCGGAAGGTGGGCGGCCTGGCCCTGTGGGACTTCCTCGACTTCATCGTGCGCACCCGGATACCCATCTTCGTGCTCTTGCGTCCTTTCATCCAATGCAAGGTGTGGTGTGTGCCCCTCCCTCCGCAGTCACAGCCCCACGAACACCGTGCTCTCCACTATGGCAGGGTTGGGGCAGGAATGCCGCTGGGATGGGCTGTGGCCAGTGAGCACTACGCAGGATGAGAAAACAGTCCAAATGTACCCAGAGGATAAAATCTCATGTTGCAAGTACCATCAGTTACTAGAGTGTATAAAACTTAGCTCCCCTGGCTCACCACCCACTCCATATATATATATATATATATATATATATATATATATATATATATATATATATATATATACACATATATATATGTGCATAATGTGTGTGTTTATATGTAATCTATCTCTCTCTCTCTCTCTCTCTCTCTATATATATATATGTATATATGCATTGGCCCAATAGACTGGTCTGGAGAGCCTTCTCTTAGTGTCAGTGCCATAACAGAGAGCTAATTTTAAATCAACACAAAAATATGGAATGCTAACCGCTTGTTTTTCCTCCAGTGCTCAGCCACTTCATGCTCTAATTTCTTGGGAGCAGTGGTTCCAAACCGTGTTATTAAATACTTCCCAGATAAAAATCTCTTCTAAGGCTACCACCTGAATTACTTCACTTACTCCTCTCAACTATGGAGTAGGTAATTAGTCCATTTTATAGATAGGGAAACTGAATCCCTAAGAATGTATTGCCTTCTTTTCAGCTTCTGGCCCAGCCAGCAGAGAATCATGATGAACTTTCTGCCCGGCAGCACATTGCTGACCAGCTGGAGCGGCGCTTCATACCACGTCCTTTGTGTAAGAGCTCACTCATTGCTGAGTTCAATAGTGAACTAAAAATTCTAAAAGAAGCAGTTCACAGCGGATCAGGTATGTGCACACAGGGTCTCTGGGATTTGTTTGAGAAATGGATCTCATGATGTGCAAAGAATTCTCTGCTCAGGTCACCGCTCTTTGGGGGGCCATGCCTGAATCAGCGGGCCTAAAATATCAGTAGATTTGATTATGTGACAATTGTGAGTAACAAAATAGTAATCAAAAGGGTATCAGAGGGGTTTATTTTTATTTATCTCCTAGATAGCTTTTTTTTTCAGTTTCACTTCAGTAAAATAAGCTCTTTCATAAATGTTCAGTTAAAGAAAAAAAAAAACTTGTTTGCTTTCATTAAAAAAAAAAAAAGAGGACCCACATTTACTGTCTGATTACCCATTTCACAAGTGTTACTTCTGTTCATCCACAAAAGTATCTGTATGGTGCATCACTGAAGGTGCACTTAAGTGAGGAAATTAAGACTTGAGTAAATGTTGAGTAACTCACATGCATAGAAAATGACAATGATGTGGTGATTTCAAAGTAGGTCTGCATGATTTAACTGATGTCTAACTTTTTCACAGATTTGAATGGAAAGAAGAGTTGACAGGATAGAAGGTCTTTATCCTACTCAATTGATTATCTTTGAGTGTGCACTGTTTACATTTTTACAGTTATTTCCACAGCAGACTGATGAGGAAAGAATATAAATCATTATCTGCCATTAGAGGGCAGTCATTACCTATAATTAAAGTATATGTTGGAGATTTTTGGTGTTGTTTCTGAAGCCTTTACTGTTTGCACTATATTACAGATGAAAATTTTAACAGGTGTAATCTCAGTTATTTTTGTATATTACCATTCAAATATTTTGCCTAATCTGATAGAGGATCAATGAAATAATTTGATGAAGGACTGAGGGGTTTTTGTATAGCACAGTTTCTAGAAAAGAGGAATAAGAACTGTGGATAATCTGTTTTGATCTTTGACTATGACGTCCATAAAAAATCATATCCATCTATTTATTTAAACCTATGGAGTCACAAATATGTCTCAGTAAACACTGACAATGTGGAAAAGGAATTCAGAATTAATTCAACATTTTAATTTCCATCCTACTAGCCTTGGAAAGTGAAATAGATCAGCAACAAGAGAAGAGCCAATGTCAAAGTGTTTTACATTGCTAGGGATGTCATCTTCTTTCAGGAAACTGTTCAGTTATAAACCAGTGGCCAGTACTTTGTCTTAAAGATCATTCGTCTGGAACACATTGACCTTTCCTTTAAAAAAAATGAAAGTGCTCAAGAGCAGTAAAACAACACCCCTCTCCCCCTGCAAAGCCTCATCTTGCATTTCCTTTGGTCTCTCCCGCCCCAACAGCCTATCAAGGGAAGACATCTATCAGCACTGTGGGAACCTCCACCTCTGCTTACCGCCTGAGCCTTGCCACCATGTCCCGCTCCAACACTGGCACAGGCACTGTCTGGGAGCAGGACAGTGAACCATCTCAGCAGGCTTCGCAGGATACCCTGAGTCGGACTGACGAGGAGGAGGAGGAAAGTAGGTTACTGGTACAATCCATGCAGGCAAAACAACTTGGCCATGAGCTTGAGGACTTGGAGAAGAGTTCTACCCTTCTAACTATTTCCAGTTCTCATCCCCTTAGGGATTTCTGCAAGAAGGATGCAAAATGGAATTGTAACCAATTCTACAATTTTTAAAAATTTTATCTTTAAGTAGTTGTATAAAGGAGTTGCCACTCAACGAAGTAGTATAAGAATATAATGAAACTTGATCATTGTTATCTTTTTCATCGTTCTCCCCAACTTCTCCCACCCCTTCCCTTTTCTTAATTTTGTAGAATACATTGAATTTTATAACTGCATTTCCTCCCCGTCCTCTCTTCATCTGTCTACCCACTACCCTTATTCCCCCACCCCTTTTGAGGACCTCTTTCCAGATGTTCACTTAGTTGGTCTCTGAGCCTTTCTAAGAAATGACACTGATTTGAGTTCTCCTCTGAATCTACCATATTTCAGTTAATACACTTGGATTAAAATGCCTGTGCTTCTATACATTCCTTGAAAGCTTTAGTTGTTTGGGAAGAATTCAGGCAAAAAGCAAATCTTCAGTGACCCTTAAATTATTTGGGGGCTTATATATTCAATTCTCACTTAAACTGTGAATAAATAACTTACCCCTCCCTTTTGGGATATATTGCTTGGAGGATTGACTAACATTTCTATTGTCAGTTTGAGTAAGGAAATGTGGGCAAACATATGTTCCTAAACATATGTTGGTCATGCCAGCTGAGATCAAATCAGCAGGCTTTCTTGAAGAAAAACAACCCAAATCAAAGTTAAGAGAAAACCAGAAGAGGTCAGCCCAAGGACTTCTAATGCATGTGGTAGGGTAGTGCTAGGAAATGAAAATAAATATGATCAAAAAATACTTACTTGGAATGTTTAATATGAGTTAGTTTAAAAAATAAAAGTAGAATAGTTTCCATTTGTGCCACTGTCATTTCAAAGGCTTCTCAAATAGCACTGATTATCTTCCACTGTTGTCTTAAGATACTTTGATACGACAAATGCCTTAAGAATGAAAACAAATCTAGATTTCTACTCAGAGCTTCTTCCTACAAAAGACCCTTTCTGAGCTAAACAAATAGAGGAAATGGGATTTGAGGTCAGAATTTTAATTAACTAAGATGAATGAAGGGAGCAGGTGTGATCGTGCATGTCTATAATCGGAGCACCAGGGAAGCTGAGGCAGGAGGATGGTCAGTCCGAGGGCAGTTCAGGTTACATAGACCCTGTTTCAAGAAGGAAAAGGAAGAGGAAGAAGAGGAATAAAGTATTAATGTTCCCACTATAGTTGAGTATAAAGTAGAGGAAGAGAAATGAAAGCTTTGTTAAAATACTTTTCAATAATATTTCCAGGAATAGTTTCAAGTAGGTCAGATAAAGTGATCATCGCAGTGTAAGCAACTTGTAGACAAACGTGTATCTAAATCTCCCTGGTATGTGCTTGTGGGAATACACAGAAAGTTGTAATCAGGGAAATATTGAAAAAGTCTTGACCAAGAAAATACAATGAAGAAAACAAGAATCAAAACTTCAAGATAAACAGTAACTCCTAGAAACAATTCAGAACTTTTAGTTAAATTCATTTTTCTTTAATTCTTGAAGTAGAAATTTTTCTTAATGCTGGGAAATGATACCACGTATCTTCCCTAGAATTAAATCTTTATGAATATGTAAATGATCTAGTTAGTAAGAAAGAACTGGTGAAGAAAAGTCGAAAAAGCATAAATCGGTAACACTGGCTAAGAGATAGCACTAATAGCAGAGGCTAGTGGAGGAAGCATGCATCTGAAAGCTAGGTTGCTAATAAATGTTATATGTAATGTGGTTGTGATGTGGGTATGTACTAATTATATGGTAGGGCGGGGGGTGGGGGAGGGAGGTGTGGGAGTGATAGGGAAACTTGAATTGAACATTTGCCGGTCATCAAATCTGTATTGACCTCTAACAGTTCGAAGGAAGAGAAAGACATTAGATGCATTCTTGTAGAGAAGATGATGCATATGCACAATATAGAACACTTAACGAAGAGCTTAGTATAAAACAGCCCACGACTAATCACCAAACCAATATTGGAGAGTGTTAAGTGGCATGAATTCAGATAAGAAGAAAAAAACTGATGAGAGCTAGGAGTCCTGGTAGAAACAGCTCAGTTTATCCTACTATATTTTTCATATTTTCAACTTCTCTGCAGACATACCTAAAAAGAAAATGCCATACTATGGTAAGAATCTATTTTAAATCCATCATGATTAAAATTTAAATTTCTAGTATTTTTCATATTTAAAAGATAAGTTCAATTACAAATGTACACTTGGGGAATTTTTAAATATAAGATTGTCTTCTATGGTAACATGATTCACCAAAATCCAGTGTGTTTATTGAAGTGTATTTAGTGATCAGCAACAAATGACACTATCTCACTTAAAATGAGGTCATTCATAAATACTGTGCTAAAGCTAATTTTCATATGGATTTGAGTACATTAATTCTGGTTCTATGGAAAAATACATATTTAAATCTTAAAATAAGTACTTATTTCTGAATTTTATAAATTTTTCCTTAAAAAAATCTGAAATAGTCTTTCCTACAGCTGGCCAGAAATAATTAAATACACTAAACACAGGTTTTGAATGTCAGGGAAATATACTTGACTCATTCAATAACAAACTCCTTATTGAACTATTGTAAGCATATCTTTCAAATGTATGTTTTTTCTGAAATCTTCTATTTACAGGTGCCTGCCAATATGCACAAATAATATATACATACTTGGAAAAACAGACACGAAGCTGGTTTATTTCATGCAGGCTGTTGTAGTGTAGGAAGGTGGGAGCTGTATAGGAATAAAATATTATCATTGATCCAATTCAGGGTCTTATTTTTTCATCTATATAAAGGGACCGATGATCATGTTGCTTTACAGATGATATTGAAATTGTGTGCTCAAGCCAAAGAACCAGGTACTGCTTTTATTGTTACTTTCTGACCTGTACTCCAGTTTTTATAATGCTCCATTCTCTGCCACTTTTCAGATGACTCAGTAAGCATGCCCAGTGTGGTAAGTGAACAGGAAGCTTACCTCCTGAGAGCCATCGGAAGAAGGCGGTTCTCCAGCCATGTCTCCAGCACGTCTGCACCTCAGGCTGAGGTGGGCATGTTACCCAGCCAAAGGTAAAGGGCCACGACTACCCTCCTCTCTGCACTTGGGGAAAAAGGAAGAAATTCTAAAAATATGCTCACCTTATTCTACAAACACTTAGAGAAGCAAGCTATGGTTATGGTTTTAGGAAGCCTATTCAGCAAAGGGCTTTGCAACTAGTTTTCCTGCAGGTAATAATTTGTGATTTTGTAAGCCAGGCTAGTTGAAAGGACCCTGTCTTCTAATCCAAGCATTGTCTCTCCTTAAAAACTGTCCAGACATCAATACATGATCTTCTTTATAAAAGCCAAGTGACCATTTATCATGAACGAAAGACAGTATGGAGTATGGCACAAAGGTAGGGCCAGCTTGACTTGCTATCTTGATAAGATATAGGCTTCTGCTATATTATAGTATTCAGCTAGAATAGGAACGTTTAACCAAGAAGAAAAGGACCAACGCTAATACGTGTGACCTTGAGAAGGTCACTCAAAAATAGCCTACAGATCTCTCCTGTGTGAAATGAGGATGTTGGCTAAATGATTTTTAAGGGAACTTTGCTACAGTTCTCCATTCCACAACTTCTTTTTAAACTTTGTATGCATTCTCCACTGTATAAAATAGAAGGTGAAACTCGTTCAAGATATATGTGTATATATAAGAAAAGTATAACAGAAAATATTATGAGTTAAAACATTATCTTTTTTTAGAAATTAATGATATATTTACTGTAGGGAGTGAAATCTTTCAAAGAATTGTTCTAATACATTTGTTGTCCATTTTTAATAACCATGTGGTACAGTTCACACATAAAAAATAAAAAAGTCATGTCACACTAGTAAGTTCACATAACACCAGTTTAATATGCAGGAAAAACTGTCTTAGACTCAATCCTTTAACTAAATGGCTCAAGTTGAAAGGGGTAACATTGATCAACATATATTATATTCATAAACTGCTTTGTTAAAAAACTATTGAATAGGGACAAATGATAAAAGATAATAAGTAAATTGTGTATGTTTAAAGGCAATAGTTTATGTAAGTGCTAATCATTACAAAGGTTAATAACATAGAAAGCTTACCATCATTATAGTTTATTTACTTCATATTTGGTATTTTTTCTTTGAAAAAAAATTTTATACATAAAACATAACCAAAACATAGTCAATAATATCTAAATTTATAAAGTTACATAAGCAACTAGTGTTGGTGGCTAACAACTTACTGTAATTGATAACAAAGAGCAAGACTGTACCAAAAATAAAACTAGCAACTTATTCTAACTTAAATGGAGAATTTTAAATAGAGAGTTCATGGTTATTTACCTAAAATAGCCCAGATTATCAATTCCATTTCTACATAAGTACTAGTGGGTCAACATGTTTCTAGGGAGACCATCCATCTTGTGCAGAGATATTCTAGCAATTCAGAAAAGATATGGCTAATCCCTTTAGATTTCAATCATATGTGGGGATATTAGTGAAGATAACATTGTCTCTGCCCATTTGAGACAATAAGCCTGTTCTTGAGAACAGAGACTACCTACAACAATTAGCTAAACTTCAGTCCTTTGGGAATAGGTATACCAGTTTTCTAGAGAGTTTAATTCTACCCAACTGAATAACTATTAATTGAAGCCTTGTAGGTATTTAGTTCAATGATAGGCATCAGAGGAAAATCAGACAAAGTATGACAATTTCCATTTACAAATCTCAATTCAGCTATATGCAAATAAATCGATAAACCAATTGTTCTCTCACTAAGCCAATAAGTTTCTTCTTTTGGCATTTGTAATTCAATCACTACAGGATGGAAAGTACATGTGGGTTCCATGTGAATTTTCTGAGATACGTTCCTTCCATTTGTTTATTTGCATTTTCATTGCAAAATTAGTGAGGGAAATTGAGTTCTTTCTTTGCTTTTCTTATGGCATCAGTTCCAAGAAGTTGGTTATGGCAATTCATGGTAAGTGGTTTCTGTGTGAAAATGTCAGGACACATGAGAAAGAAGCAGGGTCCTGCCTGGTCAAAACAAAAAACAAAAAAAAAAAAAACATGTATGAAAGACAGGATAAAATGAATAACCAAACGTTTACCAAAGGAAATGCTAGTTTCATCTTCGACAGACTCATTCTGAAGTCCGTTTCAGAGCTCACGTGTCCATTTGGAGCTCATTTTAACTCTTGACCAATAAGTAAACCAGTCCTCCGAGAGTCGTATCCATCTGAAGTCCTGCCTTCCCCCATTGCCTTGAGTCCTATGTCTTGACAAACCCAGCACAAGGTGAAATGGTTGACCGTGTCTCCTTTTCCTTCCTTGTTCTGTTAAACTTACTTGTTTTTGGTTCTTGGAAACAGAAAATTGCATGCCTTTTTTCTTTTTCCTTTTCTCTTTTTCTTTTTTCTTCCTTTTGCATTTTCTTTCCCTAAATGCTTCATCTCCCTACCCCTCCTGCAGTGAACCTAATGTCCTCGATGACTCCCAGGGCCTGGCCGCTGAGGGCAGCCTCTCTAGGTACAGTGTCAACACTACCTGTCTATTGGTGTCTGTGCTGGGAAACTAGCTGTTCCCTGTCTCTCTGTCTTCTCTGTCTTCTCTCACCCAGTCTTGATACCTATTTCCATTCCTTGCCCTTTGTGTTCATGAACACTCGAGCCTGGAAGTCAAAGGTGTAGCAAACCCTCCTTCATTTTCAGCTTCAGAGATCAATCACAAATGGCCTTTAAGAAAAAAAATCTTCCTTTAAAAAACAAAAGGGACCCCTTCTGAAGAATTCTCTAGGAGATTGACCCATGGAAGTCTAAAATTTCTGACATAACAGGGGTTAGAGATACAGCTCAGGCATACCGCATATGCCTACTTAGCATGCGCAAGGCCATGGGTTCAACCTCAGCAACCTCTTTCCACAAAGTTCAGTATGGCAAACATTAAATATGCCCATCTAATCATCTCTCCCCACACTGATACTAAGAATTGCTTTTCAGTCAGGTGCTGGTGGCTCATGCCTATAGTCCTAGCTACTCAGGAGGCTGAGGATCTAAGGATTACAGTTTAAAGCCAGCCCAGGCAGACAAACCCCAGAGATTCTTATTCAATTAACCACCAACAAATGTGAAGTTGAGCTGTGGCTCAAGTGGTAGAAAGTTAGCCTTTTGTACAAAAGTTCAGGGACAGGACCCAGGCCCTGAGTTCAACCCAAGGACTAGCACAAAAAATAAAATGTAAAAAAAATGCTTTTCAGAAGTATAATATAACTGCCTATCATTTGTAAGCCCCTGTATTAGATCAAAGTTAGGTCTCTTTAGATGGTAAGAAGTAATAATGCTATGAGAACAATGTCATCACAATTTATATAATTCCTTCACTTTGATGCATGCTATTTGGCAGAATATTTTAATAGCATGTTCAAAGAACACATATAAAGAATGTCTAATCTAGCACAAAGATGACTAAAACTTGCCATGAAGTGTCAGACACAAAGATTTCTTAGAGGAGTCTTACAATGCAAATAATATGATATCTGCGGTTTTATTTTAAAGCTATGGAAAAAGGGAACTGCACCTTTAACACTCAGATAAAACCACGTCAAACATTCCTAATCTTGTGCTGTTGAATTACACCTCTCAACTAATCCTCATTAGGATACTGCTTCTTGTTCATCCTTAGAGTGTCTTTGTTCCATCTCAAGAGAAAATATTTCCTTCCTGGTTTGCATTATATAGTGAGTACAAAATATCTGTGTTTATTGCTTTATCACAGAGATGAGGAAATGTTGAGAGGCCGTTCCTGTGAAAGGTTGTCTTTTGTTTTCTTTGCATCCTGTTCAGATTTCACATTTTCTTTGGCAATTGAAAATGGGAAATTTAGTCCATCATTGGGTCTTATCTTTTCTTTTTTAACACGGATCCATACTTCATACATTCATTTGTGTTTGCAAGCCCTTGCCCTAACAGATAGTCTTTTATTAATTAATGGTAATTGTGGAAGTGCTGCTGAGTGCAAACCTAATTCTATTGGCAGGAGCCTTGCGACAAGGTAAAAGCAGAGAAGCAATAATCCTCATGAAGTTTTCCTCCCTTAGTTATTTACAATTTAAGTGCTCTAAACCAAGTCTACCAGACTGGCCATTGCTTTCAAATGATGCATTTGTTTAATGCTCCAAATTGCATGTGGGAGAAGACAACCTCGATTAAGAGATAGTATCTGTGACCCATGTGCATAGAGTATCAGAGCAGATCTTCATTTTAGCTGGTTTGTACTGCAGCTATTCTAGTTAGGCCAAACTCTTTTTACTGAGTAATAAGTACTAGTCCTGGGTTTTGGAAAGGAGGCAGGAGTTTTGAGTTGGCCAACTCTGGCAGTCTCCGGGTCCACATGATTGAAGTTATATAAATCAATTCAGTCAGCCCTGGAACCAGTGTTAGTGTGGAGAGACTCATTCAGACCCAAAGCTATACATGTTTTAACTGCAGTCAGTAATATCAGGACTTTAATGACTATCTTAAAAATCAATTGTTGCTGATGTGCAGTTCCTGGAACTGTTGTTTTCTACTCTTGGATGTCAGTCACTCAGGCTCAGCTGTGGTCATTAAGAAATGGTAGGATCCCAATCCTAGCTACTCAGAAAACTGAGTTCTGAGGATCCCAGTTTGAAGCCATCCCTGACAGAAAAGTTCTGGAGAGTCTCTTAACTCCAATTAACCACTTAAAAATTGGAAGTGGCTCTGTGGCTTAAGCAGTAGAGCACTAGCCTTGAATACAGAGTCTCAGAGACAGGGCCCAGGTCCTGAGTTCAGCCACACAACTGACAAAAAAAGAAAGAGGAAGGAAGGAAGGAAGGAAGGAAGAGGGCTGGGAAGGTGGCTCAGTGGTAGAGCGCTTGCCTTGCATGCATGAGGCCCTGGGTTCAATTCCTCAGCACCACATAAGCAGAAAAAGCCAGAAGTGGTGCTGTGGCTCAAGTGGTAGAGTGGTTGCCTTGAGCTGAAGAGCTGAGGGATAGCGCCCAGGCCCAGAGTTCAGGCCTCATGACTGACCAAAAAAAAAAAAAAGAGGGAGGGGAAG